CTGCCCGACCTGGGGACAGCAGTGTCACCTGTGTCACCTCAGTGTCACCCACAGTGTCCCCGTGTCACCCACAGTGTCCCTGTGTCACCCTGGGGTGATGGCCCGGCGCTCCATGACGCTGCCCGACCTGGGGACAGCAATGTCACCTGTGTCACCTCAGTGTCACCTGTGTCACCCACAGTGTCGCCTGTGTCACCCAAGGTAGTGGTGGCACCTCCCCAGGGTCCCTTTGTCACATCCCAGTCCCTCCCAGTTGCCCAAAACCCCCCTCCCAGTTCCTCCCAGTGCCCCCAAACCCCCTCCCAGTCCCTCCCAGTCCCTCCCAGTATAAACCAGTTCCCTCCCAGTCCCTCCCAGTTCCCTCCCAGCTGCTCCCAGTCCCTTCCAGTCCCTCCCAGTTCCCTCTTAGTTCCCCCCCAATCCCCTCCCAGTTCCTTCCCAGTGCTCCCAGTCTCCTCCCAGTTCCCTCCCAGTTTCCTCCCAGTCCCTCCCAATCCGCCCCCAGTCCCTCCCAGTCCCTCCCAGTTCCCCCCCAATCCCCTTCCAGTTCCCTCCCAGTGCTCCCAGTTCCTCCCAGTCCCTCCCAGTATAAACCAGTTCCCTCCCAGTCCCTCCCAGTCCATCCCAGTCCCTCCCAGTTCCCTCCCAATCCCCCCCCAGTCCCTCCCAGTCCCTCCCAGTTCCCTCCAAGTCCCTCCCAGTCCCCCCAGTTCCCTCCCAATCCCCCCCCAGTGCTCCCAGTTTCCCCCCCAGTGCCCCCCAGTCCTTCCCAGTGCTCCCAGTCCCACCGTCTCCGTGTACTGGTAGGCGATGAACTTGCGCATGAGGGCGATGGCCGTGGCGCGCTCCTCGCCGATCTGGGGACAAAACGGCCGGAATTGGGCAAAGCCAAGAGCCTTCGGCCCCGCCGGCGCTTTTGGGTGCAAACCCCGCGGTTTTGGGTGCGAACCCCGCGGTTTTGGGTGCAAACCCCGCGGTTTTGGGTGCAAACCCCGCGGTTTTGGGTGCAAACCCCGCGGTTTTGGGTGCAAACCCCGCGGTTTTGGGTGCGAACCCCGCGGTTTTGGGTGCGAACCCCGCAGTTTTGGGTGCAAACCCCGCGGTTTTGGGTGCGAACCCCGCGGTTTTGGGTGTGAACCCCGCGGTTTTGGGTGCGAACCCCGCGGTTTTGGACGCAAACCCCGCGGTTTTGGACGCAAACCCCGCGGTTTTGGGGCCCCCCAGGACCCACCTTGCACTTCACCGTCCAGAGGTTGGGGTCCCTGCGGGGGACAGAACCTCATTATTCTGGGGGGTCTGACTCAAACCTGCCCTTTTTCACCCCAAATCTTGTTCCCGGGAATTCTGACCCAAATTCCCCCTTTTTCACCCCATTTCTCATTCCCAGGAATTCTGACTCAAATCCCCCGTTTTTCTTCCAGTTCTCGTTTTCTCATTCCCAGGAATTTACCCAAAGCCCCTTTTTTCTGCAGCTCTCATTCCCAGGAATCCTGACCCAAATCCCCCGTTTTTCCCCCCAAAACTCACTTGACGCCGGGCAGCAGCTGCTGCTGGGTGATGTCATCCGAGAGCTCGTCGGAGCCGCCGTAAACTCTGGGAAAAAGGGGAAAACGCCCCAAAATCAGGGGGGTTTGGGGGTGGGCGTGGCCAGGGGCGGTGACAGAGAGGAGGGGTCACTCGGGGGTCACTCAGTGGTCACTCAGGGTCACTCAGTGGTCACTCACGTCTCCCCCACCGAGGATTTGGCGTATTTCTTCATGTAGTACTCGCCCAGCTCCTCCTCCCGCTGGTCCCTGCAAAAATGGGGGGAAATCAGCAAAAAACAGGAAAAATGGGGAGAAAATGGGAAAAACTGGGGGTGGGAAATGGGAAAAAATGGGAAAAATGGGAAGAAAAGGGAAAAAAATGGGAGGAAATAGGAGAAAATCAAGAGGAAAATGGGGAAATGGGGGAAAACCAGGAAATATGTGAGGAAATGAAGTGAAATCAGCAGAAAAAGGGAAAAGCGGGGAGGAAATGGCGGAAAATGGGGAAAAATAAGGAAAATGGTGAAAATGTGGGGAATTGAGGAAAAATGGGGGAAATGGAGAAATGGAAAAATGGGAAAAAAATAAGGGGAATGGGGTAAATGGGGGGAAATGGGGAGAAAATGGGGGAAGATGAAGGAAAATGGGAGAAAAGAAAGGAAAGTGGGGGAAAAGAAAGGAAAATCTGGGAAAACGAAGGAAAATCTGGGAAAAGGAAGGAAAATCTGGGAAAAGGAAGGAAAATGGGGGAAAAAAAGGAAAATGGGAAAAAAGGAAGAAAAAAGGAAGGGAAGCAGAGGAAAATGAGAAAAGAGAATGAAAATGGGGAAAAAGCGGAGAAAAAGGAAGGAAAATGGGGGAAAGGAAGAAAAATGGGAAAACGAGGAAAAAAGAAGGAAAATGGGGAAAATGAATGAAAATGGGAGGAAAAGGGGGGAAAAAAGGAAAAATTGGAATAAGGGAGGAAAATGGGGGAAAGAAAGAAAAATGGGGGGAAAGGGGGGGATATGAGCAAAAAGGAAGGAAAAAGAAAGGGAAAAGGAAGGAAAACAGGGGAAAACGGGTAAAAAAGAAGAAAATGGAGCAAAGGAAGGAAAACAGGGCTGGGCTCACCTCCAGAGGTTCTGCAGGCGCCGTGCCCCCGAGCGATCCTCGTCCAGCACCACGTTGTCGATGTTGGAGGCTGAGGAAGAGGAGGCAGAGGAAGGTCGGGGATGGGGATTGGGAATCTGGGGGGCTCTGGGGACCCCCGGGATTTGGGGAGGGGGGGGCTCTTACCTTCGATCTCCTCTGCCCCGGGGAGAAGGTGACGGTGGAGGATGAAGTAAATCAACAGCAAAACCGGGGAATGGGGGAAAATCGGGGGTTTTGGGGGAAAAAAACCGAAAAAAAGCAACGGAAAAGCCCCAGGCGAGAGCGGATGAGATGGAGGGGGGGGTGGGGAGGGGTGATTGGGGACCCCCCCGGGAAAGGGACAGGGAGAGGGGATTTGGGGAAAAGGGGGGGAAAAATGGATGTGGGGAAAACAGGAGATTTGGGGGAAAAGGGGGATTGGGGGGGAAAAAAAAATTTGGGGAAGAGGGGATTTTGGGGGGGAAATAGGAAAAATGGAAAAGAGCATTTGAGGGAAAAAAAGAGGATTTATGGAAAAGAGGATTTGGGGAAAAAGGGGTTGAGGAGAAAAGGGGATCGGGGGAAAAGGGGGTTGTGAAAAAAGGGGGTTTTGTGGGGAAAAGGGATTTAAGGAAAAGAGGATTTGGGAAAAGGGTTTTTGGGGAAGGAAGAGGCAGTTTTGGGACTGGGGGTGGGGAGCAGGGACCCCCCATGCAGGGCTCACCCCCCTCCTCCCTGCAGCCCCCCGGGCTGGGCAGAGCCCCCCCAGCCTCACCTTTCTCCAGGATGTCCTCAGCCCCATCCTCCCACTGATCTTCATCCTCGTACTCATCGTCCACGTCTGGGGGGCATGGGGGTCAGCGGCCGGGAGAAAACCCAAAAACACCCAGAAACCACCCAGAAACCCCCAAAAAACACTGAAAACCCCCCAAAAAACACCCAGAACACCAAAAGCACCCAGAAACCACCCAAAAAACACCCAGAAAGCCCAAAAAACCACCCAGAAATCCCCCAAAACCCCAAAAGCACCCAGAAACCACCCAAACCCCCCCAAAAGACACCCAAAACCCCAAAAATCACCCAAAACCCACCCAGAAACCACCCAAAAAAACCACCCAAAAGCCCCCCAAACCCCCACAAAAACCCCTCCAAAACCCACCCAAAACCCACCCAAAAATCCCCCCAAACGCTTCAAAACCTCCCCAAAAACCACCCCAAACACCCCAAAACCCCTCAAAACTGCCCCCAAACCATTCAAAACCCACCCAAAAATCACCCAAATCCCCTCAAAACCCACCCAAACCCCCCCCGACCCCCCTCACCGGCCTCGTCCAGGATGAACCCCCCGTGCCGCGGTTTCTTGGCCGGCCGGTCGTCATCTTCCTCCTCCTCCTCCTCCTCATCGTACTCCTCCTCCTCCTCTTCCTCCTCCTCCTCCTCCTCCTCCTCTGCCTCCTCCTTCCCGCTGCCTCCCCCGCGCTGCTCCTCCGCCTGGGGGGGCAAAGGGGGGGTCAGAGACCCCCAAAACCCCCCCAAACCCCCCGAGCCTTCGGCCTCACCTCGTTCTCGTCGCCCTCGTCGCTGCTGCGCTCGCTCTCCTCCTCCGAGAAGTTGCTGTCCTCGCTGTCCGACATGGCCGGGGGGCTCGGGGGGTCCCGGGGGGTCCT